TCCCCCAACCCCTCAATGGAGAAGGTTTATATTCTATATTATATGTCTTCATTAATCACTTATGCCCTGATTGCTAATAAGTTTTCATTGCTTTTGTTCATCAGTGCGGAAGTGTCCACCTCATGTATATCTTAGGTCTATTTCCTTTTCTTTTTGTAAAAATGATGTATAATTAACATATAACATTTGTTTAGCATGTGCGGTATAATGATTCTGCATTTGTATGTCATAAATGATCATTTTAACTAGGGTAGTTAACATCCGTCACCACACATAGTTTCGGATTTATTTTTCTTGTGATGAGAAAGATTCACTCTCTCAGAAACTTTCAAATAATGCAACAGAATATTAACTAGAGTCAGCATAAGGTACATTACTCCCCAGAACTTATTTCTCTTATAGCTGGAATTTATGCCTTTTGACCAAATTCACTCATTTATCCCTCCTACCTCGCTTATTTTTCATGACTGCTTAGCTTGGTTCCACCTCACACACTACTTATCTGATTTTGCACTGGTTCCTGCTCCACATTTGTGGATTCACAGAAATCCTTATAATCAGGTGGTGTTTCCTTTCTGGCCACACACCTTGGCCTTTAAAATAGTAAAATAGCCATCTTAGAGACAAATGAAGCATCTAAGCTCCTACTTTCTATGTTTTTTTTTCTATTGTTGTTGTATTGTTTTGTTTTGTGTGTATGTTTTTGAACTAACACTACATTATAACATTATATATGTTATAGGTGCAACTTTAAAATCAACCTGTGTATACTACATTGAGTTCACCATTAAATGTCCAGTTCTATCTTTTACCATTCAAGTGTCTCTTTGGTTTGAATTAACTCATCCTTTCTACCTTCTACACCAATTCATCTTATAGTTCAAAAGTTTTTTTTTTTTTTTAATTTGGTTCATAAGTTTATTCTCTCTGTATAACACGAGTTTACATATGGTTTTGTCTTTCTTCATTTGGCTCATTTCACTTAGTAAAATATCCTCAAGGTCTATCTTATGTTATTACAAATGTTTGAATTTCATCTTTTTATAGCTGAGTACAACTCCACTGTGTATATATAATATGTCTTCTTAACCCACTCATTTGTTGTTGGGCACTTAAGTTTCAATAACTTAGCTATTGTAAATAGTTCTACAATGAACATAGGAGTGTATGTATTCCAAATTCATAAATACTGAGGAGTGGAATACTAGGTAATATGGAAGATTTTTTATTAATATTTTGAGAAACTTACTGTTTTCTGTAGCAGTAGAACCCATCTCTATTCCTCTTTTTTCCCCACACATCATCAATACTTATTGTTCCTGGTATTTTTGTTATGGGCCTTTTCATTGTATCTCATTATGGTTTGATTTGTAAAATAAAATGGCAGATTCTTTTCAGAAAATCACTCATTTCCTTTTACCCAAAACACTCAAAGTAATTGCCAAGAAACAACTTATGTTTATAACTAAGAGGATTGTTGGAATTTTAACTGAGGAATCTAAGTTGAGAATAAGTGATTATTCCATAGTCAATACATCCCTTTATCTGCCTATCTTAAATAACAATGTATTTTATATACTCCAATTCTAATCAGGAAGCCTACAAAAAGTAGAGATGCCTGTCTCTTAAATCAAGGGTCAGCAAATTTTCTGTAAAGGGTCAGATAATAAATATTTTAGGCATTGCAGGCCTGTTCTATTGCAGCTCCCAATTCTGCCATCACTGGAAAGCAGCCATAAATAATACATAAATGAATATGGCTGTGTGCTAGTAAAAAACTAATTTATGGACACTAACATTTGAATTTCATGTAATTTTCACACACTATGAAATAGTCCTCTGTTGATTTTCCTTCCAGCCATTTAAAAATATAAAAACTATTCTTACCTCACATGTTGCACAAAAACCAAGACATAGACTGGATGTGCCCGAGGAGCCATAGTTCACCACCCAATTATAGATTTTCAGATGGGAAGGATACAAATACCATGATTAGACAGCCAACGTGAAAGCAAAAGTGTGACTGTTTTAATTTGGGAGAAGAAATCAGTGAAGGGGCATCCCTGGTAGTGCAAGGGGTTAAGCACCCCATTGTGAAGCTATCTGCAGCCTCTGCAGCACGAGTTTGATCCCCCACCAGCCAGGAAGCTACTCACATAGCGCAACAGACTTCTGTCTCGCCCGCTGCTCCCCTCAGCAGTGTATTTCAGTCAGTCTGCCTGTTCTGCTCCCCACTCTGTCTCTGGTGATTCCTCTCAACCCCCACATCTCAGGCCTGTACCCCAGTTCTTGTATGCATAAATAAATAAATATTTTTTTAAAAAAAAAGGAAATCAGAGAATATTAAGTGCTGACTTGACTGAGGAAATCCAGAGAGCATTTGAGGCAAGAAACTGTCTCAACAGTGGACCACACCAGCCAGTACCATCCTTCTTAGATGGCATTCATCTGGTGACATAGTTCCCCCCCTCTTTTTTTTTCACACTCTTCAGTATTATAAGTTTAACAGTCAAGTCTGCTGTAATATTCTGACCATTCGTCAGTACAGGACAAGTCAGGGTTTGCCTCTTTTTTTTCTCTAATACATGTCGTATTTCAGCCTAGACTTTCCTCTTGTTCCCAAAGACCATCATAGATAAGTATGTCTGTGGGGTCAACCCCTTGTTCATCATGAGTATAAATGGTTATCAGCCACCTACCCTGTGGTTGTGCCTGGTGAGCCATGCCAGTCTGTGACATCTCCCTCTCCTTGATCCTGCTCAATTTCATGCCCATCCTGGTTCTGGTGTTGCTGCTTCTACCTCTATCAGGAATAGCAAAGTGGATGCTATAGCAGTATTTCTAATCTCAGTCTTTCTCACCAAGACAGAGATACACATCCTCCTCCCACATAAAAGAGAAATGTTTTTCCTCATTTAAGACATTCAGGCCTAACACTCTCAGTAGTTGGTTCTATCATAACACAAAAGATAGTGAAGACATGCCTGCTAGTTGCATCAGAAAACTGAGCTCAGTGCCCTGAGGATGGGATGTATTTTTGAAGACATGACTTATATCTTGCTTGGCTTATTAGATCCCATGCTCAAGATGTAGATTTTAGAAACTTAAGGATGACATAAGGAAAAGCATGTCAACATTTGCCATTACTATGCTATCTGATCTCCTAAACTTCTTAAGCTAGGGATTTGCTGTTTGTTTTTAACAGTTTGGGTTGTCTCTGGCCAGTAGACACCTGCAAATGTAGACTTTTGTCTTCATAGGCTGAATGAGTCAGAAGTTGAGGTTTTGACTTAATTCAGTCATTAGGCGTCTGGTTGAATAGAGCCCTTTCAGAGTAACCTGGAATTTTCTGTGGGCCACAATTAGTGCATCAATATTTCTAGATTTAACTAATGTGTACTATTCACTCTACTTCTGAAAGGACCACTTGATCCTAAAAGAACTCATAGAAACAGTGTTTATGTAAAGTTGAATGTAAATGTTGGGTCCAGTTTGGACTAGTTTTCCCATGTAGGCATTACTTGTACTCTCACAGAGCTTATTAGTTTGGTCTTGTCTGTGTGTGTGTGTGAGAGAGAGAGAGAGAGAGAGAGAGAGCTTATTAATTTATTCAAGTGCTTGCTCCTAGGCTCTGAGGATACTGAAATAGTACAGATATGGTCCTTGACTTCCGTGTATTCAGAAACTGTTATCTGAATACAGAATCATAAAATCTCTATGACCTCTTGTCATAGGTGATTTAATAGAAATAGAAATTGAATAATTTGGTAGTAGCTAGAAAAGCAAAAGCAACTTTGAAGATGAGACAAAGGTTAATTGGGGAAAGAATTATCCATTCCACTGCAACATAATGAAAAGTGCTGAACTTGGAGCCAAACACGTCTTTTTCAAAATCCTTGGGCAAGCTACTCTATACATTATTGCGCCTCAGTTTTCTCATCTCTAAAGTGGGGTTAGCAATACTCACTTTGCAGCTGTAGACATAAGGATCAGCAAGTAGCTCCCATCCTTATTGTAGGCCTTTTCATCAGAGGCTATGCATGATGAAGAAGCATGCTGTTGAGCATTGGATGGAAGAAGCAGGGACGAGATCAGTATTGTGGGGTTGCATGGGGACAGGGCTTCCGCTCTGAATGAGAGCCAGGAAAAAGCACACCTGGGTCAACTATTGTCCCACTCCCCTTGGGAGCTCATTTGGACAATGGCTACTGTATCTTTTCCCAGCAAAGCTTTTGCATATTTTACTGTTCTTACAAGTTGACTGAGAAACCTGGTCAGATTACATACTTCTGATGGCTTTTTTTATCATGAATCTCAATATTCGGACCCACTCGATGATTCCTAAGGGTTTGCCCTAATTCTTGATCACTGACAAAGTTATTTAAACGTTACAGTATTAAGATATCTAGGATTCTTTCCCAATAGATAAGCAAAAAGTGGCTGTTTATAAACAGTATGCATGCAATACCTAACTTGGGGGTGGTATAATACTTTACCTTATAATGTATATTCTCAGTGACAAATGGATTTTGTATCCTAGAAAGGTCTGGGCCATCTGAGTGATATACATTTGTGCGGAGTATTGAAGCAAAACATAATGAATTAGCCTGTATAGTGCTTTCTGAGGAACCCGGTGAACCTAGGTAGACCTGTGAAGTGCCCCTTTAGTCTACCAATGATGATTAGCCCCAGTAGCAATCAGCCTGTGCCTTCTACTACTTTTGACTGGAAAGCAGCTTACCCATAATTGAGGATGCAAGTGTTAACTTGTTGGATGTCACAGCAGGAGAGACAAGATGGAAACCCCCACCTGTCTGACCCCAGACCTGCCAGCAGGACGGTAAGATGTCCTGAGAAAAGATTACCAAATGGTAAGGTGTCCTGAGAAAAGATTACCAAATGGAAAGTCCTTTGAGAACAACGATTTCCCAAACTGTAGTCCTGGCTTGGTTATTACGGGTAAGCGATGGAGCACCCAAGCGTGTCTTTGTCTCTTCCAGGAGAGAAACCCTACAAGTGTACCTGGGAAGGCTGCACCTGGAAGTTCGCCCGTTCGGATGAACTGACAAGGCATTACCGCAAACACACGGGAGTGAAGCCATTCAAGTGCGCGGACTGTGATCGCAGCTTTTCCCGGTCAGATCACTTGGCACTGCACCGCCGGAGGCATATGCTGGTGTGAGGAATGCTACCTGTCCAGCTGAGCGTAAGAGCTGGATCTCTTAGCGGCACCCAATTCAGCAGGGCTGAATCCCCTTCACAGTGTTAACGCAAAAGGGCATCACCATCCCACGATGTCTGAAACCAGAGCAGGAAAAAGAAGTAACACTTCTCCTTTTGGTCTGAAGGTAACCCCCATCACGACTACACGAGAAACGTCTTCACGCTGGCCTGGGAGATCGGTGACACAAATGCTGGAGAGACAGGCATTGTTTTCCATGCTGTGTACTCTGCCATTTAAAGGTGTTTGTAGCTTGTACATTTTCTGAGCTGTCAGACGTTTTGTTATTGATACTTTAAAGGTCGTCTACCACAAATTGATGGCTAGAACAAGACCTTTCAAATTTGGATTATTCTCCCATCATCCCACCCCTTCGCCCCTTTTTACAAAAAGTGGTAGTTACTATCAGAATAAGATAGAACACACATCCAATCTGTTACCAGCAAGCAGCATGAAAGTAGAGAAGAAGCAGCTGTTGGAGAGGTTCCATTACCTGAAAATAAAGGGGACTCGGGCAGCCCTTTGCGATAGTGATGGCGGCGACTAGCTATTACCCGCAACTTGTCATTTTGCCATGCCCCGAAGAAAACCAACATTGAATCTTTCATTTGTTTGTCGTTGATTGTTTTTGTTTTGTTTTGATTCTGTTTTGTTCATCTGTTCGCGCAGAGGGGCAGCGACATTTCAGTCGGAGTCTAGTCCTGGTGTCTGCCCTGGCATGGACTGGCACAGAGCTGTTCTGTAGTTGAATAGGAAGAGCCTGTCTAAAAAACTACTGCCCCATTTCAAATTGCAGTGTTCTGTCACCTAGGCATCATCTCTTCCTGCCCCTAGTATTTGATTACAAGGAATCAGGGGAAAAAAAACTTTCTTAGACACACTGGCACCAAGGTAAGAGGTGGGGCTGCCCGGGCAAAGTCAGTGAACATGAAAAATCAGACAAAGCAGAGATGGAAATAATGCGCCTCTTGAGGAGAAAAGCAATAATGAATAAAAGGACTTTCCTACAATAACTTCACTGAGGACTCACGTTACCAATTTTCATGCTTACTAAAGGGATTGTAAAAAACACCCCAGCATTCTAGATGTCTTGGTTACATTTACAGCACTGAGGTAATCTTTCAGCTGTTTGTTGTCCTGCTTGGTTGAGTACCACAATTAAAGATTATGCTCCCCTTTTCTTGTTTGAAAACAGTTATTTGGTGACTAGAAAGGCCAGGGAGGCATAGCAGGGAATTAACTCTTGGGTTAATGGGTCAGTTCTCCTTGGAACCGAGACAGTGGGAGGGGAATGCTCCCTGAGGAAAAGCTGACATGGTGCTAGTCTCCTCACTTGGAGAGCCCAGGATAAGTGACTCTCCAGCAGGTTCTTCTACCCAGATGTCCTTTACTGAACTGGACCAGGACCCCGGGGTTCCGCATTGGCCTCTGCAGGGGTGTCGAGCCCTCTCATCTTGTGCTGAGGGCGAGAGGAAATTATAGTCCCGTCAACACCCTAAAATTATGAGCCTTTTTTGCAACTAGCAAAGTCTACAGTAAACAAAGCAATACATCACCAACAAGCATTCTTTCAGAAAAATTACCATATTTTTCCCCCACTAAAAGCTGTTTTTTCAGCTTTACGTGGCTGAGGGGCTTAGCGAGGTTTTTTGTTATTATTGTTGTTGTTAAGATTTTTTATAGCTTAGATAGAAAAGGTTGCCAGCATAGACCTTTGCAATATATTTTAATTACAAACACTTGATTTGGGGAATTGCACAAATTAACCTCACGATATTACTAGCTCATTTTTAAATGTTTGAACATTCTGAAATAATTTCCGGCTACAGAATTATCCTTTTTTAGGATCGTCTTGTAATTCAGATAATCTTATTCTGATGAAGCAAGAAAGAGCTATAAACACTGAAACAAGGACGATTTGTGTTGGATGGTATTAAAAGACATTTTTTAAATGTTCAAGCAACAGCATAATGATTTTCAGGTCAAATTCTGTCTTCAAAAATATGTGCTCTATATTTTCTGCCAGGTCTGAAAAATTCATCAGGCAATTTCCCTCCAACAAGGGCTGCAGTTCTATTGATAAATAGCTTCTTTGACACAATCTACTTACTAAACACCAAGCACTCGGTTTTTTACCAACTGGAAAGTTTTTTATCTGTACTGTATGCAACTCCTACTTCTCATTGCCTATGACATTCAAAATAGAAAAAAGGCTTCTTGATGCATGCCAGCGTTGGTTACTAATCAGTGGCAAAGAACACAGAGCAGGGAACACAGCCCTGAAGCCCTCTGTTGCCCTAGAACCTAGCTGCCAGCCCAGTAGGTGAGTCACTCAGCTGAAGTGTAGACCTGATTCCATTCTGCTGCTCTCAGAAGAAGGGCCAGACCTTTTCTTTGCTAAGCGAGGTCTTGAGAGTGTTACAGGTAGAAGTGGTTTTTAGGTTTCATAGAACTGTCAGGCAGTGGGAGCTTCCTGAGTGACAGCTTGACTTAAATTTAGCACAGAATGAAAGCAGTTGCTGCTCTCTAATAACATAAGAAAGATTCGGGGAAGTGGGTTTTCTCCTCACCCCTTGAATGTGGAAACCAGACTGAGACAATAGATTAACTTATAAAACCTGTCAGCGTTACACCATTTCCCCTTTTTGACATATTGATATTTCTAAGGAGGAATCCAAGCACAAGACGTGAATGAGTGACTGATGTAGCCCCAGGGCTGAAACTTATTTGGGGCTGGTTTGAGTAGTAAATTCTCCTTGATGAATTTTCTACATGTGTTTCCCCATGAAAAGGAAAGTGGTTTGGGAGAGATGGAATTGGATTTTTAAGTAGGAATATCTTCAGGCATTTCATCTGATGTCCATTCTAGCCTCTTGAAAAAGCACAGTGGATGATGAACAGGACAGGACAGAATCCAAAGGACTTGTCTGTGGTCTGCTAACTAGAAACAGACTTTGGTTTGCTACTTGAAGCCTTTTGATTGGCGGCTGGGCACATCTATGTGCTGGGGAATTCTGCACTAGAAAGGCAAAGAAGCTGCAGTAGGCCTGATCCTCTTTACATGGTAGAGATTGAGCTCAAGGAAGGTGACATTATTTGAAAAGTTGCGCGGTTCAGGCTTTAAGGTTCTAATAGGTCTCCTCCTCATATTCTTTAGTCATTTGGGAAAAGATTCACACTTCCCCATCCTGTCAATCAAGTGTGGATTCTGAGAAGCCTGCATGATAACTTGTCTTAAGTTCTATTAAGGCATTTAGGCTGAAAATCCTAATGACTTTACCAGGAAGTCTATACTACTGCCTGACATTACTTTTACAAAACACTATAGGACATTTATTTTCAAAAGCAGTTGAATGACAGTAACATCAACCATCTTTAAAAAAAAAAAAAAAGCACTTTTCATTCACTTTAAAGTTTAAGTGGAAATAGGAAGAAGATTGTTGGGGTGGGGGAGAGCTTACAAAATGCTACAGTGTTTACAAATGCCAGTTCTAGATGATTAGAAAGGCCATTTTCATTATGGTTAAAATTTGAAATAGGTTATATGAAGATTACATCCATTTTTATACAGCTTTTTTAAACTTCAAATTGCCACTTGTGTTTTAAACGGAAATAGAATTTTGCACTTTGAAATCAGTTCATTAGATGATAACATGTATATGGATAAAGATGCAGTATTCCTTATTCTGTACTTCATTTATTATACTTACCAAAGCTGCAATTGAATAAATCTGGTGAGGTGAGGCCTTCAAGTGTATTACGCCTTTGTTATGTTATTAAGACTGCTTAGAAATGTAGCCTTGAAGTTATTATAAGGTGTCTTAATATTTATAGTAAGCATTGACAGAATTTAAGCAGTGTTAAGAATACCAGCATTCTTGATACATTGAGTTACGGTCCTTCATATGAGAGGTTGAACGTGAGATACCTTCTGAATCATCGTAGGCCCAGAAAGCCTTAATACTCATAGTCCATAATCCAATCTCACATTTTGCTCTTTACTAATGCCTGTAAATTTCAGAGGTAAATGTATTCTACAACTTCATTGACCAAATCTCTTCCTTCTGTCTTTCTGAGGTAGTTAGTATTTCTCATTAAATAATCTTTGGATTTGATCTGGTTTTGTTTAGAAAAGGGGTTTAGTAAGTCATGTCTTCCATTTACATTTCTACTTATCCCCATGCTGCCTTCCACTTACTTGTCTAGGCACCCCGAAACCATGCACACCTGTATACACACTTGTATATGCAGCAGCCAGTGGGCTAATAGATGTCAACAAAGAACTTTTTTAAAAGAGTGAATTTGTAATAATCCATGCTGTTTAGAAATGTAAGCTATTTACCTTATTAGGGAATCAGCTTATAATGCTATATTATGACTTTGCCTGCATTTTATAGTTGAGAAGTGTACATAAAAATTACAAATGCTATATTTTCACAGTTTCATTATAGAATAATGTCTGTTTAGCAACCCATGTCCATTGGTACTTTAAATATGCTAAATGCTGTGCACTTGCAATAGAAATTCAGATTTTCATAAGAAAATGAAATAGGATACTGCATCTTAAAAAAAAAGAGTGGAGATATTTTCCTGTATTCGTTACATATGTCATAGTGGAAAAAGTATTTTCAGACTCACAATTTTACAGAGGTTGTAAATAGTTTGATGAAGTATGTTGGGGAAAAGAGCTTCTAGTTTTCATCACAATAAAAATAAAAAAAAAACCTTGTTCAGATATGCCTTGTATATCTTACCATGAGTGATGTTGCCACAGGAACTCTGTTCCCAAGTCATGTGGTCTAACACAATGGAGTGGCCACTTGTCTCAGTTTAGCCAGGATGGTTTAAATCACAATGAAGTCTTTTAAGTTGGAGGCAACCGATTCCAGACTCAAAAGGTTTTTGCCTGTAAAGAGGAAGACAGTTGCGAAGGATTTTGCTTGTGCTGAAGAAAAGCATCTAGCAATTGTTATCTTCCTCCTCAATGAAGTTGGTTATAAAATTATACAGGTGTTGATTCTTTTTAATTCCAGAGGGAATACTTTTAGGTATAGCAACATGTTGACAAGATTAAGTGCTATGGATATGGCCACATGTTAAATGAATCTGTACTGGCAATAACAATAAGCTAATGCCCATTTTCAGAAATGAATTAAAAGCTGAAAGTGCCTGTCAATAAACATTATGACCAATGAGATATTCCTGTAATTTTACACAGCAATAATTCTTCATCAGACTGGGTTTTTCCTCTACATTTGGGAAATGTGCATACACACACAGACACACACACACAGTAAATATATGCATATAGTAAATTACATCCATTCACACACCCACTAAATTTTTTTTGTGTCTCTTAGGTATACCTAATGTTGTTTATTTTAGCATTTCTAATTTAGTCACCCTTACAAAAATGTAAGAATGTAAATCTGAACATTAAGGTGATCTTCAGTGTATACTGTGGAGTGTGGCAATTATCATTTTGAGATATAAACGTCACTGTGATTCGCCCCATACTTGTGAAGCACTGTGTGTGACTCAAAAAGTTTTGTTCAGCTGACAAAAGCCAATTTATTCAGAGCAAAACACTGAGGGATATTGTTTGTTTTGCTCTATTTTATCCACTAATATCTAATATACAAACCCATCTCTGCATTTCTTCTTCATTTCCTTTCCCCTAATATTTCCTGTTATCCTCTAAGAACCATTTGAAATGAATATTGACATGATTATTTCTCCCTAAAAAGTCTAATAAAGTACAACTGACACTTAGTAAGCCTAGCCTTTTAATAAAGGTTTGCAGATTTACATACAGAATTTCACAATTTTTTCCTATAATTATTTTATTGCTAAAAGTGGAGTCATGAATAAAAATTAAAAATGTAATTATAGAATAGACAAGCCCTGGAAGTACTCCAGCCCTACCGTCTCTCAGAACACAACTTCACCCAAACAAGCTGTGGAGAGCTATCAGCAAATCACACTCTTCCAGAGCCAAACATTTGGTAAGAGCAACTTTAAAAGCATAATTGTGATTACACACTCAGACTCTGGATGTGAAGACTACCACAGTGGACACTGGGCCACACCCCAGACCACAGGCTTAGGAGACCATCAACTGTTTCTCTTCAGAATGGAGGAAATTGGCCAGAATAGGGTGTAAAATGACCAATTAATTGTCAAAGGAGAGCTGCTGGGTTCCTTAATCTCACCAAAGTCTAGTCTTCTAACCAGACTGCTTTCTGGAAGTTGTCTGAGAATTCCAAAACAACTTGAAAGGTCAAAAATTCAGCAAACCATGAACATAGTAGCTGTTTCTTATTAAATACTATGTGCCAACAGCTACCCTAGATGATTTTTCAACACATGACCTCTAATATGTACAATGGTTTTACATTTTAGAGTGGGGGACTGAGGCATGGAGACTGTGACTGAGTTGTCCTTAAACCCAGAAATAGTGAATGGCAGATCTGGAATGTGAATTAGCTTCTCTCTGGCTCTGGGGGCTGCATTGTTCAAACTACACCACACAGGGCGTGTGTTCCCACCAGCCAGCTTTCTGTATTTCTAACACTTAAAATAGTTTTATTACGGATGCATAGTCAACTATTTTCCAAGTAAGATATAGGAACATGCTATAGCTCATGATCTGACATGGGTACAGAATATTTGAAATCAGTCACACGTGAAAGATCATTATAAACCAACAGCAACAGCCAGAAGTCTCCCGGAACTTGTCACTCCCCTCCAAATGTTTGGCCTGGAGATCCAAAATCATCAAAAACTTTTCCCTACTCCATAGCATTTTAGCCTGGGTGAGTTTTCTCAATTTCACGTATTTCCTTGTAGGTATAGTAAAAGCCTTTCCACTTATGTAGATCTGCTAAATTCTGCTTAAGGGGCATTTGAAATTTTTGCTTCCACATAACTGATTAATAACAGACCTCAGGGTCATTCATAGGGTGGCAATCCCAAGCATTCAGATGCTGAGCAGGAGAGAGAAGGGATCATTCCTTTTCAGATTTCTCATCTAACAGCACCACCTTGGAATGTTTTAAGTAGTTTTATAAATAATTTGCTTATAGTATTGTTGTTAGTTTCATTGAATTTTATGTAAGAAGCTGTCCAACACCAGAGAAATGAAATCGCCTCCTGTTCTGTGTAGAACAAGGTCTTTGACAGTCTTGATTCATGGATGTACTAATGCACTTAGAAAACATTAAGAGAACATCATTTCTCATGGTTTTTCTTTTTCGGAAAATGAATCTCCTGAATTATGATCTTTCTCCCTGTTACTTGACTAAGAGAAGAGATAAAACCTGTATAAACAGATTCCCTTCCATGCTGAAAGCAGTGTTTCTGTGTGCGCAACTCATGGCAGAAACGGGCACTTCTCGGTTAATTAGGTTTCACAAACAGTAATTTCTCAACAACAAAACCACAGCTTTAAGGGAGTTGAAAAGAGATGAATAGTAGAAATAGTCACATCAGTGCTTTATTCTTTCTGTAGTTCATCTCTAGAAATTTTAAACGTTTGCAACAACAGAGTCTGCCTTTTGTGCAAAGCAAGAACCGATGACTTTGTGTTAGTTATGTCTTGCTTTCTCCAAAGCAGGCATACCAAGACTTTCACAGAGATTCATTTTTGTCGAGAAATGAGGGTGACTAGGAGGGAAGAATTTGGGTCAAATTCTAGTGAAAGTGCCCAAGTAATCAAAAAGAAAGATATTTTAGGGACATACCAACAGCTTCCCTTTCTGCTAATTTCATGCTCCAAAGACACCGCTAAAACATAGAAAATTCTTTTTGTGTTTTTAGTTTTCCCATAGCAAAACTTTGTAATTACATCCAGACTACGTTATATATTTTGTTACTCAAACTTTATTACATTGGATGGGTATTGTTGAACTGGGGCACTGGTGCCTATATTCAAGGCTCTTTCCTATCAACTTGTCTGTCTACAATTTGTTGTGTTGAAAATTCATTTTAAAAATCACCCTCCCCTCCCCCGAATGGTAGATGTTTTATTTTGTTCATGTCTATGTGGGACACATCGCATCACATGGCAAACCAACTCTCCGTGGATGTGAGATAACTACTTAAAAACCAGCTTGAAAACATTGTCTTTTGTATTATGTCATCTTGCATCATAATGCAATTATGTGTATCATAACATGCTCATTTTAAATAAGAGAAACCAGCAAATTCATGTTTGTCCATAGAAGAATGTACTCAGAACTTTGTGTTGTGAAACGGTGAGAGCAGACCACCTTTAAGATACCCACCTGCCACTTAAAATGACTTAGTTATAATTAGTAGTAGTCTAGACATCGCTCTTGGTGTGTGGGGGTCAATTTGAATGTCATATTCCTTTGAATCAATCTCTCAGTTGTATTTGAAAAAATACATGGGAATAAGAAAAATATCATCTTTGGCCAAATCAAGCAGGCATCTTTTTCCTTTTTCTTGACACTTGGCTCATTATACATGGTGATTGGATCACAAGATCTCTCTGTGTAAAAATACAAAAACATCCTTCAGTTTACAAAACAGTTATTCTAGGCGTAAAGCCTCTGAACAGCAAATTGAATAGATGTGCTGCATCTGATTTGCTTTATGGATATAATTTTACAGAAGATTCTTGGGTTTCTGACGCCAGAGACCTGGAGTGCCCAGAGGAGGTCCTACACATTAAAGGATAACACCCCCCGCAATGATACTGGCAAACAAATGTGTTAATTTCTTAAGTCTTCATTTGGGTTTCTGTTCAGAGTTTTAATTGCGAATGAATTTATTTCTCCAGCTTATCTAAAGATCTAATTTCCCAATAGTTTCCTCTGCATTTATATACTCTGTAGTGTTTAGGCAACCCCTTGTTATAAGTTTATTAATATTATGTAAGTGTTGTTCTTGTATTTATGTATAGTGTATGTATTGTAAATATACTCAGAGCTTTTTTCCTTTTACTGTAAAATGGTGATTTTTTTTTTGCCCTATGATAATGTAAAGGGAGACCCTCCTAATGAGATTCTCTCAGAGGATGATTATTCCAGTCTATTCTCAGAGATTTAAATGAACAAGTGTTATCGTTTTTAATGGTGTCTCAGACATATTCTGTTGGTGCATTGCTTTTCTGTATTCAACTTTCCTATGAATTGAGCTGTGAACCGAAATAGAGTTTAAACCTTTAACTGTATGCATTTGTATAATTATCTGAATGAAGGCATGAAGGTTAAATAAAGCATTTTGTATGGAACAAAACTCCCTAATTATTACTAAGGCTGACTCAGACACTTTGGAAATCATAGTTATTAACCATTCTAATTAAACCTTTGTTATAAAAAGTTTTACCATTTGTGTATAGTAATTTAAAACTCAGAACGAGATAGACTCCATACTAAAAAATGGAGTGGGGTTTTCTTTCATAACAACCAGCACCTAAAGAGGGATCCCTAACTTAATATTTTAGTGAATGTAAAACAAAAATAGTGGTTTGGGAATTTGAAATGATAGAAAAATATATCAGAGACTAAAATGGAATCTCTGTAAATTCTAATTTTGTCAGACTTATGTATAGTGTGTGTAGACTAATCCATCTAGCTCATGCCAATGATAGCTTATTTCTATAGATTTTTTTAAAATATATATTTTTTAAAGATTTATTTATTTATTTATACAAGCACTGGGTACAGACAGAAGCACGGGAGGGTGAGCGAATTCACCAGAGCCAGAGCAGGGAGCAGAGCAGGCAGAAGGACCGAAGTACACTGCTGAGGGGAGCAGCGGGCGGCAGGAGAGGTCTGCACGCCATGTGGGACCCTCCTCCGGTGGCCGGGGAGCACTGGGGATCGAACTGGTGCTGCAGAGGCTGTGGGCAGCTTCGCAACCCAGCGCTCAACCGCTCTGCCGCCGGGGAGGCCCTTATTCTATAGATTTTTAAGAACACTGGATTATAGTCTTAAAAATGAGACTGTGAATAAGCACTTGAAAAACTGTTGAAGTGTTTTCCTATACAATGCTCTTTGATTGAAGATCTACTAGAAATAGCTATTCTACAATGAAAATGGTAATAAATACTACTGACAATTTTATAGAATGGTAATAGAGGGCAGATAATAATTAAAATAATATTTAAATAGTTCTTAGGTGCCAGGTCATGTTCAAAGCATTATGTTTGTCCCCTTTATTCATTACAAAAATCCTGAGTTAGATTCTGTTATCCTAAAATTATAATGAAAAAGTGAAGTGCTGAGTTCAGGCAACTTTCCCACTCAATGTGATTTCGATTAATGTGCTTGGCCACTGAAGGACAAGGAGTTACTGGCATAGAGAAAGGACAGAAAGTGGGGAGCAGGGGTTGAAGGGGGAGAATCAGTAGAAATAAGCATCACAGGGCCTCGCCAGTGGCGCAGCAGGTTGAGTGCTGTGCTGTGAAGCTCTCTGCAGCCTCTACAGCATTAGTTCGATCCCTGCCAGCCAGGGAGTACCCACATGGCGCGGCAGACCTCTCCTCCCTCACCAGCTGCTCCCCTCAGCAGTGTCTTTGGTCCATCTGCCTGTTCTGCTCCCCGCTCTGTCTGGTGAATCCTCTCACCCTCCCATGCCTCTAACCTGTACCCCAGTTCTTGCAGAAATAAATAAATCTTTAAAAAAAAAAAAAAGAAATCAGCATCACATCAACAAATACCTTTGATTATGTATATACGATTAAACCCAACAAGATACCATCTTAGATTCAGACTCTGCGAACCACAGTGTAGTTTAATAACTCATAAAAATTAGAAACTGAAATTGATTTTGGCTCTCTCTGTTACTGACTCCAGTCCATTCCCTAATGAACAGCACATTCTGCGACACGGTCCTGTTCCACTGCAGAGAGTGCCAGGTAGGCATGGAGAGCTCCCCCTCTCCCATTGGTGGTACACTGTTGTTTGACTTTTCCAAACTCGGATGCTCTGGGCACATGGCTACAGGCCTTAGGGAAGCCATTTCCTCCCCCAGGGAGGTTCTCTGGTGGTGATGGCAATGCCGACTTACAAAAGAAATCGCTTATTAAAGAATTACATGTTTCTTTGAAAACTGAAGCAATAGATCATAAGTACATTTTTACTAAATTGTGAGGATTTTAGTTGTTCCACTTTAGAAGTACTTCCTTAAGGCAGGGGCCAGTAAGAAAAGTCTATCTTGTACACTCTGGTGAAGCATGGTAACTTGGAAAGCTGACCTCAACATTCACTTTGGATATGACTGTGTAACAAAATGGTAAGTCGGACATTAGATTTATGTGTCTTTGGCTTGATTTTCTGAATGTTCTTTCTGGGCCACACAAGCAGCCAAACCAGCTCTCAGCTTTTTTTTTTTTTTTTTTTCCCAGTTCAACCCAAGAAGCTTTGTCATAAGGATAGACCAGTGAGAAATCTCAGGATAGGTCACAAGATACTGTTTTACACTCAAGGTAATTTATTGGTTGATATTTTCCCTACCATATGTTTCCCGGATATTTCCATAAGTGGAATTGGATGAGTGCTAGAAAATTCTCTGATATCCTCAATCCTCACCTTTGTGGCAGTTGATTCATCAGAGCTGTGATTTCTAATCTACATTTTTGGTTTCATTGTTTTTTACAAGCTCCTGTTTAATGACTATGAAATTGCAGTATGAAAGAGTTAAAAGTAGAGAGATGACAATGTGCTTAAGATTAGAATAAATTGGGGCTTTATCAAAAAAAGAAATATTTCAGAGCTAGAACAAAAGCATACTCCTTAAAAATTTATTTTAAATCCCAAATGGCCACTGATGGTTTTCATACCATATAATACATTGTCTTCCCACCAAAGTTGCATGGTTTCCTTCAACACAATGAATTCCTTGTGCTTTGTCCGAGTGCTGTCTGGATTTAATATATTTCTGTCCCAGCAGTGTAATAAGAGTAATTTACATCACTTCCTATTTAGTTTAAATTCACCAATGAACACCTACACAGCCCATACACTTGGGTGATTCTCTATTTCTGAACAAACAATTGCATTTTTTCTTGTAGTTTTATATGATTTTTTATAGTTTCACTATTTTAAACTGGTATGTGTATGTGAAAGAAAGGGAAAGAGAATTAGTTTCATGAGGCCATCATAATGCCAGCATCATCACACTTAACACAGGTATCAAAAAACAGTTTTACTCAGAAATGCCACAGAATTACTTAACTACATTTATTGCCATCAGGACACCCCATTTCTCTTATAGCTATGGTTTGCATGCACATATTGTAGTCCATTACCTTGGAAAGGATTGCAAGTCACTTTCAGTCTACTGTGGTGTCCAGATCTCTTAAAGCTTTCCGACTGTCCCAAACATCTAGGTCAGTTCCAGAAACTTCAGGATGCTGTCCCAGACTCCTCTGAACTCTTAAATTTGACTTTAGACCAGGTCATGGGGTAGAGTGGCTGAGGAGAGTTAAACATTGTTTGCCATCCTCGGGACCCTTAGCTTACATTAGTGAGGCCAGTTCTTTCCATTTATGAGCTAGGATCTATGGACCATCCTTTACCTTTCATTGCTGATTTGGAGTCATGTTTTGTTATACCTCAGTGTGAATCCATAGTCACTTGGGTATCTATTATCAATTCCTTTGTAATTATGTAGTAATATTACATATTTCCAGAGAGCATTTAAGTTGTATTTATTATATCTAAGGATACATTGACACATATATGACAGGGCACAGTGTAAAAAATAAATTTTGAAAATCTGGTTGACTGGCCTCTTTCTCCTTTTGCCCTGCTCAGCATCAACCAGGTATGTTCATTTCTCACACTGAACAATCTACCCATTGTGGCAGTGAATTTTCTGTGTCAACTTGGCTAAAGCCACCGTGGCAGATATTCGGTCAAACATTGTTCAGGATGATTCTGTGATAGTGTTTTTTAGAGGAGGTTAATATTTAAATAGATGGACTTTGAGTAAAGCAAATTACCCTCTATAATGTAAATAGGCCTCTTTTGATCAATTGAAGGCCTTAATTAAAGACTGATTGATTGTCACAGAGAAGAAAAGGATTTCCACCAGCAGCTAGCTTTGGATTTGAACTGCAACTCTTCCCTCAGTCTCTAGGTTGCTAGCCCACCCAATCAGATTTTGGACTCACCGAGTCTCTACAGTCAATTTAGCCTATTCCTTAAATAATTTTTTCTAGATCAATAGGTAGATACATAAATTGATTGATGATTGATTGATAGACAGACACAGATACCCTGTTGGTTTTGCTTCTTTGGAGAGACCTAACTAGTACAGCCATCTATTTGGTTGCTCAGACTGCTGTTCATCTCCCTAACCTCAGAGTCTTACCTTCTTTATATGACAGTTCAGAATGTTTTGCTAAACATATGTGCTTTCTTCTTCATGAAAACTGGTGCCTTAAACGCATATCAAATAATGTACTTATTATCCTGTAAGAAGTTGGTTATATATCGTCTTCATTGTCAAATTATGAGCTACTTGAAAACAGAAATTTTGCCTTATTCATCTTTGAATCCACAGAGGCTGGCATGTGGTAAATACTTGACAAATATTTGTTGGCTACATAAATGATCGGATGTATATACATAGAATGTTAATAAGGAGATAGAGGCAATACTTTTGAACTAGATTACAGAGAACTATAAAGACTAAATTCTGGAATTTGGCCTTTATTATTTAAGCAATAAGGGATGAATGATATTTTTATTCTTAAATGAACATTTTATTAATTTTTTGAAAAGTAGTTCATATGTTTAATGTACTCATTATACATACATATGTTCACACACACAAATACACACAAATATGTTATGTTTTCCTAATGAAAGCATGAAAAATAACTGACAATTTAAAAGAGGTCAAAATTAGTATTTGAAGGAGGCTTATCAAATTGTATTCCATAATCTTTTAGTGACCAAAAAAAATTATTTATGGTAAAGTGTGACGTTTCTGTATTCACTAAATTAGAAAGGGGGCTTTTATCAACACGTCAAATACGGGGAAAGAATATTATGAAAGTTCAAAACTTATTAGTTACAAGGTACTAATTTACCTAAAAGTTTCTGCACAGACTCTTCTGCCTGTGCCCACGCTTGTTAGCATCTGATTATCTTTTCATGTTTTCAATCCACAAAGTCTTATGAAAATTTTTAAAATGCCTTTATTTCTGTGATTTTAATACTTTGCACTTTTCCGAAAACAATCTTTACAATAATTCACATTTGGAAAACTGTAAATTGA